ATTGGCGATTCCCAGCTCTCTGTAACCCGAGAAGTGATCGGTCAGCTGCATGTCACATGAACCTGAGATCTGCACTGACCACTCCGCAGAACACCATCCCTGGACGCAAGCAAGGCCACAGCTTGCAATTCATCCTCAGCTAGGATGAATGTCATCAGCTAGAAGAAAACACGGGAAGTGAAGTTGGAGAGTCGAAAAACTTGGTTTTCACCGAAGGCATTCCGGAGGTTGTCCGATCCCCCCACCGTCCCCAACTCGTCCCGACGACCGGCCTCGTTCCCCTCACCACACCCCGGATTAATTAGAGTATTAAACTTCTTGGCGGGCCGGTAGCCAACAGACTAGTCAGCACGGATCTACGACAGCTTGACATGACTGGGCGTTCTCCGGGGCGCTACGCTCCATCTCTTCATTCGTCATAGGCGGCAAACTCGTGGAGTTGTTGCGGATCACCGGTGGTCCTGTTACTGGGATTCTTGAGGTGAGAATCGACAGTTTCAGAAGACCGATATGCGGGGTATGATAAGTTTTTGCATGGCCGGTTAGGATGCCGCATGTTCCATTTAGCATCGGTCAGGCTCTGGCCACGACGTGGCTGTGACTCGGCTGCAGACGCCAGCGTGGTGTCGCGATGGGGGCTGGATCTTTCTATGGGCTACACAACCATCCGGGGTCCTCCGATAGATTGCAGATGTGGACACATCCTGCTGGAGAAAGTGGTTGCTACTGTGCCAGCTGTGTGTTTTGCTGGCGCGAAGGATTTCAATAAAAGCCACATGCTGGAGAATATAAAGCGAGAGATCTACCCCCCAAGGTGAGACCTCTACAGATCAGCACTCGACTCGCCATCTGGTGCACGTCTCACATCTTGTCTTTCGCCCTTGCATCTTGCTACCAGTCTTTTATCGCCTTGTCTTTTTCGCGGTGCTGGTTACTTGCGTCAAGGCCGCCACGATGGGTGTTGGGGCAAAGAAACCGGTCAACATCTTCAAGTTGAAAGACTTGGGAGAGCCAGAGGGAGCGCTGAACTGGCGCCTTTGGTTTGCAGTCTTTTCCTTTGGACTGCTTGGTGCTGCGCGAGGCATCGACGAGGGTCTGATCTCGGGCGCCTTCAACTCAGACAACTTCAAAGAATCCATCAACTATGCTTCGTACGACACTGTGGACCAGGCCAACATTAAGGCTAATGTCTCTGCCATGGTGCAGATTGGCTCCGTCGCTGGTGCTTTGATGTAAGTCTAAGTCACCGCTTCTTTCGCTTGAGCCCAACCATTCCACAACCGCTGCGACAATCTGTTGCTGAATGACCATTGATTTTTTCTCTATGCAGTGCCTTCCTAATCTGCGATCGCATCGGACGTATCAATGCCACGCGAGTGCTGTGCGTCACCTGGGCTGTTGGCATCATGATTTTCATGATTGGAGGTTCCCGCGGTAACTTGGGCGCCATCTATGCCGGTAGATTCATCGCCGGTCTGGGTGTGGGACAGACACCCGTCGTTGGGTTAGTATAAACCTTGGCACAGAACCCCTCCCCACCATTCTATACGTGTACAACTAACACGATGCGTTGTTCTCGTCGTATAGTCCCATCTATGTTGCCGAAATTGCGCCTGCGTCAATTCGTGGTCTGTGTACGTGCTTCTTCACCGGTGCCGTCTATCTCGGCATCGTGCTGGCCTATTTCGCAAACTATGGATGTCAGCTTCACTTTAGCGACAGCAGCGCAGACCAGTGGCTCATCCCGACCAGTCTGCACATCATGATGAGTGGCCTCATCTTCATCTTGATGTTTTTCCAGTGGGAATCGCCACGTTTTCTTGTCAAGCAGGGCAAGGTTGACCAGGCAGTTCACAACATGGCCCGCCTGCGCCAACAGTCACCTGACAGCGAGTACATCATCCGCGAAATCGGCATGATCCAGGCTGGCCTTGATCATGAACTGGAGGCTAGCCGAGGCGTTGGTTGGCTTGGCAAGCTCAAGGAACTTGTCCTTGACAAGAGCAACCTTTACCGTGTGTATCTCTCGTCCATGGTCCAACTACTTTCTCAGTGGTCTGGTGCCGGATCCATCACCCTGTATGCGCCGGATCTTTTCAAGATCCTCGGTATCACTGGAACTAATGAGTCGCTTCTTGTCACTGCTGTCTTTGGCATTATCAAGTTTGTGTCGGCAATGATTTGCGCCCTCTTCCTCGTCGATGTCATCGGTCGCAAGCGCGCACTGTTGATTGGTATTACTCTCCAGGCCATCTCCATGATTTACGTCGCTGGATTCCTCACTGCCGTGCCCGAGCTCGGCACTGTGAAGAGCTATGTCCTGCCCGATAACTTGAAGGGCCCCAGCCGAGGCGCCATTGCCATGATCTATATCTCTGGCGCCGGATGGGCTCTTGGCTGGAATTCCATGCAGTACCTGCTCACTGCTGAACTGTACCCTCTGCGTGTTCGTGCCCTGGCTACATCGTGGGCCATGACTCTTCACTTTGCAAACCAATACGGCAACTCGCGAGCTGTGCCCGTCATGCTGCTTCCCGATGCACAGGGTGGAATTTCGCCCAAGGGCACTTTCTGGTGCTTTGCCGCCGTCACTATCGTGGGTGGCCTCTGGGTGTGGTTCTTTGTACCCGAAACCGGTGGCCGCACCCTTGAGAGCATGGACCGCCTGTTTGACCTACCATGGTACAGGATTGGTCTGCACGGTAACAAGGATGCCGAGGAGAAGGACATGGCTGTTGACGAGAAGCAGCGGGCCGCCGAGGAGGAGTTTGGCCATGTACACCAAATTGAGGAGAAGGCGTAGACGCATTAGAACGATTTTGTGATGCTCCATAGAGATGAGGGTCTAGACTATCTAGCTACGAACGTAACGAACTATACAATGAAGAAATTGGTCAACTTGACATGGTATCCTGTTCTTTCAACATCTACCAATTGCGCATGACTCTTGTTTCTCCGATAATCAACGATAGAAACCAACTTGCTACCAATCATTGACTACGTTATGTAACAAATCCGACCATCTCCTGCCGACAGCCGTGTTTCTCCATAATCGAAACCATGGCGCTAGATATTAAGCCACGGTTACCCCATGCCGGCATCTCGTTGGTACTTACTTATTTCGGGCAAAGACGCTCTTTGAATACGGAGCTACGGAAGTTGGCCGAGCGGATCAGCTTCCGAGCGGTTAATGAATGTTGCTATAAGCGACCCGTCGGTGGGGTTTGACCTGGGGAAATGGAAATTATGGTGATAGAGGGGAACTTGGTTGTTGGTTTGTTTTGTCTTGTCTTTGGAATGTGATTTGTATTTCGTAGGTTGTGAATGGTTATTACTTGGAGGTGCTGTTGAAAGCAATGCTGGAGAGCGTTCTAGACTATTCGTCTTGGACTATTCGTCTTACTCTCAGCTGCGGAGACAGAACTAGAGTCCTTAACCTCATCTTCAACTTCGCACTACCGCTTAAAGCTTTAATCAATACCCGCGTATACTCGTACCTTGCAAGCCATGAATCATTAAAAAAAAGCTTGTCCCCTTACCCACAAGTTCCTGGGAAGCACATGGCCCACTCGTGTGAATGTCATTTCTCCAACTATTTCCCCCCTCCACTTTCCCCGCGCTTGGCAAAGACTTACGCCTACTATCGTATACGGAAAGCACAGATTGCACCAACCAACGCTTGTTGAGGAGTTAGCTGAGTATGAGACCACAGGCAGGGAAGGTCTTTGTAGCGCGGTCCGTTTGTGGCTGCTTACTCCAATAATTTTATACGGCTGCCTAAGTTGTTGGGTTAGGATATATCCTCGGAGGTACGAGGAGAAGCTTGCGAGGAGGAGGAACTATGTGGAGAGGGTCTGGGGAAATGACTGGGGAGGAAATTGGAGATGTGATTGTCTTTTCCGTTATATTATCGTGGAGTTGGAGACGGCAATCCTTTTCTTTTCGGAGCTGGGATGGTTGGTCGGCTTAGCTGTGAAGATAGTGTCTTAGCTGAGGTGATCGTCATGTCTGGGAGAAGATGGAGGGTATCTTTGAGTTTTCTTCTGCATCTTCGCCTAATCGTACGAAGACTCGAGAATAACATGCCATGTTGTGATGTTATTGCAAATTTGAGTCTTAGCATCCTTTCTTGGACTGGTATAATGGGTCGACTCTGCCGATTTATCTTCGTCTTGTCGACCTACCGAACGTTTGCGATTACGGAGCCAGTCTGATCAATATTAGGCAGACGGGAAGATATACGACGCCTTCTCCATCGCTTTCCTCATCAGAAATCCCTCACAGCAGGGTTGATTTGAACCCCAAGACCTTTATATTTATATTTGATCCTCCTCATCATCATATTGGCAGACCACCTGAATCTGTTATTTTCTATTGCACTAGCAGAAACACTCTGGGCAGTGTCAAGCACTCAATGGAATTTCCTGAAGCATGTAAAGTGTCTGAACAGTAGCAGACCAAGCCGGTTTGATCGTTTTAACGTGCAATAGGTAAAGCTGGACCGTCGAAAATTAGTCCTGCTCTACATGGCCGAGAATAAAGGTAAAAGGACTACAATTTATCTTTGAACATATCAAAAGCTCTTACACGGCCTACTCGGCCAACACATTGAAAAACAGAAACGCTCAATAGCTCGTTCAAATTGTCTGAAGGATGCAACTTGACCCACATCACAGCACAACAAGAAACGTGGTTATATTACGCAGCGTCTCAACTAAAACCGTCCGTTTCTCTTGAATTAGACCATCTTCTACACATAGACAACAAGCTTCTGGCGCATCGTAACAAATCGAGACAGCCAGCAAAAGCTCTTCGCCCGCTTGGCTAAGCGGTATAGCGTGTCACTAGTAAATACTTGACATGACAAGGTGATCAGTTCGACTCTGATAGTGGGCATTCTTTTTGTATCTTTATATTCTTCTAATGGAATTAATGTTTCTTTTTAATCTTATGAACACCTGTTTAATCGATCTTACACTATAGACGTATATTCCCGAGCTTTAAAAGAAAGCAAGGAGTTTATCAATACACTGTTCTGTCTTCTCTCTGTCTTTCACAGGAGCTTCGTCCTCTGCACATCGTTGCACGCCATATTGACGAGCTCTATCAGATGCCATCAACCTCCTCAGCCCGAAAGTTGAACTCACCAAATCGTATTGGAGGGCACTCACTGCCGAAGAGTCCCCAAGAGCCATCTGAAGCTCCAGGTCCCTTTCGGGATTATAATTCTCGGTGCCAAGCGCAGCTGCTAATTGTAGCTTCCCTTGTCGAATAGCCTTCTTCCTTAACTCACTTGCTCTGTCCCACACGTTTCTGTGGTTTCGGAGTCTCCGAACCAGTGCCGGTGAGTCGATTCTCGCTGCTGCAACGAGTGCGCCATCGAGGCATTGATCCTGGATCTCCAACCACCGGAAGTTCCCGAAAGACGAGATGCAGATATGGAGCAGATTTTGTATGGCCACGTTCTTACCGTTCAGACATGCGGACAATACAAACCCCTCGATTTGATTCGTAGAAGTGATTAGCTCATACCAGGTATTGATTTGAACCCAAAGGTGCGACAAGATACTTATTTCGGGCATCGCTTCCTGTATAGAGTTACCCTTGCTAAAGGCCTCTAGACTAAAGCGTAGCAGCCATTTGGTATTGAGATAATTGATCAGATTGTCCATGAAATCTTCTTTGTCGGGATCTCTTCTGAATTGTGTATATGCTGTTATATTCTGCGGCAAGACTATCTGGAGATGGATATGTGTAGAACCTAGCACGAATCGTATCGCGTCGCCGGTCTGGAAACGAAGTGTACTTGACGTTTTCTCATCTGCCAAGAAGTCTTTAACAGTCTGATGTAAAAGTTGGACGACGTAGTTCGGTTCAACGTGATCTCGATCGTCCCGAGGGCCGTATCGCCGAGTCGTATCCCTCATAACTTCTATAAAAGGTCCGCACCAAGTGTAAAGTATGCTGCGGAATCCAGCCCACGTTTTGAAATAAGATCCAGTGGCCTGTCTGTAATCCTTCTGCGACTGGAGAGCCTTTTGAACGTCTTCGGGGATAGCCAGTGCATCCCACAGCTCTTGTATGGTAAGTGCTCGTACGAAGCTTGTTCCACTTACCCACATGAGAGCTTTCCTTGACCTTGCTAGTTGATCTTTATCCAATTTTTGCTCTAGCTCCTTGACCATGTATTCGTAGTATTCCATAAGATCATGTGGGAGAGAATGGAGTAGCTTTTCAAGATCCTCTAATGTGATTCCACCAGTGCGACAATGCTGCATGAGCTGGTCGACTATAAGCGTAACCAAAAGAATAACGCCATTGGCATTGTTGACTAAGTGAGTTCGGATGCCATTCATAGCATCTAGGGGCACCTCTTCGAAGATCTCATCTAGCGGCATCGGATCTTCATTGCTGCTGTTGTCCTCATCCCATGAATCTAAGGACTCCATGACCTTTTTAATAGCAACCAAGCCATTGTCAATAATTCGAAGAATATCTTGCCTGTTTTCATGCTGAAGAATGATCTTGTGGCATTTTTTGGAGGGCGTAGTGCTTTCAACGAGACTGTTGAACCGCATGACTATGTCAGGGGCAGGTCGGCTAAGCATGATGAACTTGATTTGAGAACCGGGTATCAAGGCGAGTTCAACAAGATTCCGTAGAATAGTCTCACGGGTCCTCTGGAAATTTTCGTTTGTTGCAGACTCATCGAGACCGTCTAAAATGCATATGATAGGTATACTTGATGATACGATGCTTTTTATAATGCATTGAAGATCATCAAAAGACCACTCCCCGCTGGAGCCATCTGGTCGAAGCTGCCGCTCCTGGTAGGAGGCCTTACAACAATTGAATGTCTCCTGGCTATCCTTGAACACTCTATAGACAATAGATCGGAGCATGGAGCTATGAGCCATTGTGATTTCTCCATCCCGTCTGCTGTAAAACCAATCCACAACTATGTCTTTGAGGTCGGCTGCCCTGTTAGCATTCGGCAGCGATTGCAGTTTCTGGAGCAGGGATTTCGCCAGGATGGATTTGCCGCTTCCAGCTTTCCCTTCGATCCATAGGATACCTGAATCCTCTCTTTGGAATTTCTTGTACGCATCATGAGCGAAGATCCAGTCGTTTGTGCCCTCATCAGCAGACGCAACTTTATCCCGGCGAAAGTGGATGGCTGCGAATCTGAGAGATTCCAAGCATTCTAATTGTGTTAACATCTCGAAAGCAATCGGGAAACATGTACTCGTACCAGTATATTCCGTATTTTTGTCCACAATTCTTGCCTCGGGAATATACCTGTCTATTCCGATAGCTGATGTGCCACTTATCAGGACCGGCATCCTTTTGCTACAAGTGTCCAGAAACTTGGCCAGGGAATTAGAGGTGCTTATGAAATCCGCGTTGTCAATGATAAGCATGAATTTTGTATCCCTGGGAAGAAAAAGGAGCTGTCTTAAAACTCTTGACACATCTAAGGATGGCGACATCCATTTGGTTGCCATCATCTTTTTTAAGTCATCAAGATCATTGCTGTTATCAATAAGAATCTTCAAACTTCTCTTGAGCTCTGAAACATCATTCTTAACGATGTGGAAGAATTGCGCAAGGAGCGTTTGAATGACCTGATTCAGATGAGTGTATGAGGGGGGTTTGGTACCGAGAAGGACTTCGGTTGTTTGGGCACCTAGCCCTGAGAAATAGAGAGCTTTCAAATTTGTGCAGGCCGCCTCAATCCTATTTGCCACGTACATTAGAGGACTTGATTGGTCTCCAACTTCGCTGCGATGCCACAGCACTCCCCGTAGCTCTCGATACCAGGAGACATATGGACTGGTGTGGGTAAACCATGTTGGATGGTCCAGAGGTACTAGCGATGTAAATGAATGTCGAGTCTCCAATTCTGTTAAATTTCAGTCATTAACGAAGGCTTTTTGCTCTTGAGCGAGGATAATAGCAGATGTTCAACATTTTGGGAAGAAGATAAGAATATCTTCCTTAGGTGATGCCTACCTGATCGCCAGTCAAGTAGAGGCTGACATTTCAACGCCCATTGCACTAAATCATCCAGCAGCACGATGCCATCTGGGCTGAAGATTAGCTAGGCACTTATCTCATAGCGAGTCATATAACGTAGGGTACAGGGAGATCACTAACCATAGGCAGGGCTGCGTTTAGCAAGAACGTTGCGACTATTTTCAACAAAGTCAACTACAACATTTCTAACACGATCGTATTCATTTGTGCCAGGAGCGAACTTGTTCATCATAACGTGAGTACAGTTGAGGTAGGTGCTTTGAAAGCCTCAAAGTGATGCAGAATTCTTATCCACTATCTAGGGGCAGAATAAGCAAATCAGTTTTCACTCATATCTTAAAACTTAACTTACAAATCTGTTATAGGGCATGTATTTCGCCAATGATGGAGGGAGTGCCTTTTTGGCAAGATTTGTCTTTTGGGTTTCGTAGAAGCAATGTATGGGAATAGAGAAGTTGGCGGAGTTGACGCTTATGGCAAAGTTATCAACAAGTTCTTTGAGGTGTGTATTCGTTTCCTCTGCAGCAAGATTCTCGACGAGAGCACAGGAAGTGTCCTCGCGTCTGAGGTTCCCATATGCGATTAGCCATTGTGCTTGTCTCTGCATTGGTGTGCCATTGAAGGGCGTTCCCAGAAATACAATCCCCACCGTCGCATCTCGTAAATACGAGTAGGTGCTTGTCTTTGAAGCTGCGGAGTGTAGGGCCTATGCGATGCGATGTCAAGTGTTAGTTGAGACTCTATAAGCGTTATGGGCGTAAGTCGGATGGCTGAGAAAGACCTTTGCGATTACGAGCCCACCAAAGCAGGATGCAATGAATAATATGGGTCGATGTACTGGTTCACGCCTCTATTCATAGAATTAGCAAGGCCATGATCAATAATGCCCAACAAGTGTATAATCGACCTGGCATCTTCTCCCATGGATGTCTAACCAAAGACCTTCGGCAAGATCATGGAGCGTTAGATCTACAGCATTGGTATAGAACTTGGCAGGCCAATTGTATAGCATGACGCATGCGCGCGGAACGGCTGCGGGGAGCATATCCTTGTCACGGAGCCAGTTGATGGTCTGCCCGTTTTGAGACCTGTACTCCCATGTTGTCGGGGCTGAGGTGTCAAGCCCGTGTATCGCAATGATACTATAGATGGTAAGGAAGCATTCAAATTCTTCCAGCTACATTGGGACAGACTCAATATCCGTTGTAGAGAGATCGTCGTCTGGGTAGTGATGGTCGTCCGTGGAGAGGCCGTCATGCGGATAGACCTCCAAAAGGCCGACCCGACCTGGAAGCTTTACCATACCATAGTCAGCACTTGTAATCTCCAACTAGTTTTTTCGAACCCACTAGCGACTCACTAATTCTTCCATCAAGTTTGTACAAAGACCCGGAATGTTAGGAATGCGATCACAATGGATAAGATATCGTTATTGTTAGGACGAAAGCGTTCACGACGCTCAGCCTCATCACTGATTGGCACATAATTCCAGAAAGCACGTGACAGAAGCTCAGCTGGTGGCCTATGGCAATTGTTACAATTGCTGCATGTACTACTGAAACATATGGCATGATATTCGCACATATACCATTACAATACTAAAAGTCTATTCGAATCTGTGTCTCATATCTAGCTCTTCAATTTTATATGACGAAACTCAGTAGCCCTGTGACAAACCAGTTAGCTGCCAGTCCACAATAGGTATCATAAAGTCCTCCTAAGGCAATTGAATTCATGCGGTACTTCAATCACCGCTCAATTAGGGTGATTGAACTATCTATGGTCATTGTTGGCTGAAGGTTCAGATGTTCTTCCAAGTACGTCCTTTCGTGTGCTTTGATGTACTGTGTTTACCTTCAGTTGCTAGGTTTGTTCTGGAAGACTATTTAAGATACTAACCATATCGGTATTCTATAGCTTCCATTCCATGGTACTTCGCATCTTATTGTTCCATATCTGTGATTCAGCTTGCACCCTAGCCATAATGGCTGAAGGTTCCCACTGCAAACTGATACATTATCCATTGCTGTACATCCGCTGTTGAAGAGCATTCCCTTTGCTTACTCGGTCACTGAAACGGTCGAGTCTCAATTGCGGCTAAACATCTCTTCATGTCTTGGCATCTTGGCCCCCCGCGGAAGATGTGCAAATTGCCCAATTCGGCCACCGAAGTCCCCGAATCCCGTCCAATAAGCTCTCAAATTAAGGTACTCCCAGTGCGTATGCTTAAAATAAAGCTCATCTTTGCGGGCAGCTCGCGCGTGAGCTTTCTCTGCTTCAGGAAAGTAGGCTCAGCTTCCGTCATGCGTTACATGTGGCCCAGGAGCTCCACGTGGGATCAAGGTTACTCTTGAATGGCTAAGTATATCAATGACGAGCTATTTATCAGTGTGTTTCTTTACCTGCAGGAACCAGGATGCCAGCTGAGAAGGCGGTCGGGAGATCAATCTGTTGAGATGACCCCTTGCATTTCGAGCACGGATGGCTGCGTTGCGCGAAAGCACTACGACGCTGGCTTCATATGGAGACTGTTCCGTTTGCAATACGATACTACAGTATCATTGCCACTGGATGAGGTTCCACAAGATTTTCTTGGCGATTGATATGGCGTATATAAAATGAGACACCCAGTTGCACTGCGTTGTGCGGACCAAGGAATGCAAGCCCGGCCATCCTTCGTTATCCTGTCGTTCACCATGCGTTCGCTTCTGTCTCTTTGTCTGCTGAACTTGGCTATTGCGCCTGTGTTCTCTGCAGCTACCACTGCTGCAAAGGGTGGCGACAAGGACGGTAAGAAGGAGTTCGATGTCAAGGCTCTCAGTCTGAGAGAAGTTGGAGCGCGCAACACATTGGTTAGTGTACAGAAGTGAGTATGGAGGATATTAGCTGATCGCAAACAGGATTGGCGTGTTTGGCTCGAGCAGGATGGTGAAGTCATTTCCTTCTGGCACGACATTCCTCTTTATCCCGACGAGAAGCAGAACAATATTGTCAACTTTTACGTGGAAATCCCGCGATGGACAGATGGCAAGATCGAAACTAAGCGCGACAAGCCTATGAGTATGTAGTCTATTGCGCTGTCAGCTGTCTTTGCCAATACTGATCATTGTGATGCCTCACAGACCCCATCTTTCACGACGACAAAGATGATGTGCCTCGATATGTGGCCAGCGTTTGGCCACACAAGTCTTACCCCTTCCTGTACGGATCGCTTCCTCAGACGTGGGAAAACTCCAACATCAAGCACAACTTTACCGGATATATTGGTGACAACGATCCTATGGATGTCGTTGATATCAGTGCCATTGAGTCAGTATGAGCCAACAGCGACTAAAGGATCAGCTGGCTAACGATTTGCTGCAGCCCCGGATATGTTGGCCAGGTTCGGACGATTAAGATTTTGGGTGCTCTGCCCATGATTGATGTGCGCATTCTCACTACCATTTTGCGGTCATGCGCGTATTCTAACCTGAACCTCATAGGATGAGACTACGGACTGGAAGGTCATTGGTATCAACGTCAATGATCCACTATCTGCATTTGTCAACAGTAAGATAAACTTCTTATGTAACATATAGCATTGAGTGTCTGGAGACTCACTAGATGCAGATCTCGACGACCTCGAAAAATACAGGCCCGGCCTCCCACAAACCTTTTACGACTGGTTCACCGTTAGTGTCCATAGACTCCTTATAAACAAGAGTAAGCGCGCTAATAACCATACAGTACTACAAGGTCCTCCGTAGCGGCGAGCTCAACATCATCTACGGAGGCAAGTTTCAAGACTCCAACACTGCGCGCGAAATCGTCGCCGAAAGCCACGGCTTCTGGAAGGACCTCATCAGCGGCAAAGAGAAGCCAGGGAAGATCATCATCTCGCAGACTTCGCAGCCAACGATTTGCAAGAGCTACATCCCGAGCAAGGACACGACCAAGAAGTTTGACATTCCAAAGAAGTCCGACATTAAGCCTGCTGCTCCGCGACCTGCCAAGTACGACAAATGGTTTTACTTGGATGAGAACTTTTTGCCGCTGCCAGAGCAGATTATTGATGTGGAGTAAATATATATAGAGACGGATCAAAAAGCATAATGGGCCGTATGTGTATATACACATATTGAGGGGAGATATTTCTTAGAGCTTAATTGCCGTACATGACTTGCTTGCTGAACAACAATCGCTGGTCTATTATTTCGTACTATGATGTTCTAAATATCGTTACGCCCCGTCTAATTATGCAGGTTTATAAAAGGCAAAGTCTAGTGGAATGCCACTTTCCCCATGCAGTTGCACACCCAAATCCCAGAAAATATAAAAGAAAAGAGAGTGCTCCGACCATAAATTCCACTCTCACCACCAATTTTGCCATTACTCGTACTTGTGCGTCTCAAACCTACTCTTGGCCCTGATTTTAGGACCAAATTTGAAGAGAACCCAGGGGATAGGGATCAATGCCAGAGCAATGAATCCCAACAGACTACTGGCCCAGTCGATTCCGAGAGTGGTGTACACTATGTCAGATGTTAGTTAATATGTTCGAATAAAACATTCTCAGATGGCGTTAACTTACTCTGTATCGTGAAGAGGGGGAACACGCCAGCAAAGCCGTATCGTGCCAAACTGTTGGCACTGGAAGCACTCGCGACAACATTTCCGGTAAACGTGTCGGTAGTGTACTGCATAGTGCTAACAAAGACACACAAGTTCCCCCACGCAAAAGGAATAATGGCAGCGGCCGGGCTTGCCCAAGAGATATCCTTGCGAGCAGTCCAGGCGAACCAGAAAAGACCGAGGGGCAAGCCAAAGCTACCGAGCATGGCGGGATAAAGTCTGTGCTCCGGCGGCACCTTGTGAGGAGGATAGTTGGGGATCTGCTTTCGATAGAGGAAGATTTCGCAGGCCATGATGGTGGCAAGTCCAAGGAAACAGCCGATAACGATGGAAATAAAGACCAGACCGGATTGATCGGTGGTGAAATGGTATACCGTGCCGAATGTGTAAGGGACACCGCCAAAGAAGCTGAAAAGGGTACCGAAATCGACGGCGACGTAGAGGCAGATGAATGTGACAATGGGCTCGGTGAACAACATTTTGACTGGTCGAATAGCTGCGACAACGGCAAATGTCTTGATTCGCTCGTTCATGGGAGGGAGAGGAGGCATTTCGATGCCCTTCTTCTTGGCTAGACGGCGTTTGAGAACGGGGTGGAAAGTCTCTCCGATCATTAAGCCAAGACCAATGCTGAATACAGAGAAAAAGAGCATTGTCCACTCAGTCCATCGCCAGCCCTTGTCGACAGAAACAAAAGAACCAATAACGGGGCTGTAAAAGGGGAATTATGTTAGATTCGCAATTGGTAGTATTAAAAGAGAGACACTCACCCAAGACCGGGGCCCAAGAAAGGAGTCAGAATGAAGATGGCGCTGACAGGTCCTCGCGTCTTTGGCATAAACGTCTCTGAGATGGATCCAGGCGCATTAGCCAGAATAGGAGCCCAGAAGAAGCCAGAGAGGAAGCGGAAGAAGCACAGCGCGCCAAAGTTGTGGACGAAGCCAGCTCCAAGGGTCCAGAGAGCACCAATAGTCAGGCCACCCATGATGACGGGATATCGTCCAATAGTCTCGGAAAGGGGACCGCCGATGATAGGACCAAGGCCGAGAGCAACGACGTAGAGGGTGAGAGGCAATAGGGCGACGGTTCGACTGACGCCAAACTCTTCCATGAGAAGGTTGACGGACGAGGAGGAGATGGACGTGGCTATTGAACTGTAGTCATGTTGTGTTATTATTGCTGTTTGAGATAAGTTCTCTCCCAAAAACATCGACTGCTTTAAACACAGTTGTATATTTTGGAGTGGTGAGCATGTTGCGACTTACACCGTGAGACCCATTGTAGCCAATGCAAAAATGGTCAGAGCCTTTTTCCATCCTGGAAAGTTATACGGATTCTCGGGAGCATTGTCCCAGTCGAGCTCATCCTGTGCCTGCGCAACCTGTCCCTTCTCAACATCGCTATTGCTGTTGCTGTCGCTGTTTCCATCCCGCTCGTCCGGCTTTATGTCTAAAGTCTTGTCATCATCGAACGCGGCCGGGGCGTTCAACGTGGAGGAGGACGCCATCGTAGCGCCTTCTCCTTTTTCCAAGATGCGACTGGTTTAAGTTGAAGTAACCAGTGAGTCGAGGGTGTGAAGGCTAAGAAGCTTCTAGTAGCCTTGGAGATGGTCGTGCTTATTGTTGACTCTTCGAAGGAATCGATGTGGATGAATCGTAGTATAATCCCAGTCCCTTCTTTTATCCTTCACAACTTTTTATCCCTTGCTCCAGCTCCCTATTATTCTCTGTTATTGTCGTTCGTCGTATTGATGGCTGAGAGACGATCTCTCTAACAGCAAAGAGCCTGAAGTCCACACCACCGGAGACTAACCTCGGGAGAAGGGGCAGGCCACTCTTTAAAAGAAGCCATACTTGCCCAACCCAACTTTTGTTTTTCTCTTCTTTTCTAATACTACGTACCGCGTACATGGACCGCTCATACTCAAACAAGGCAATGGTCTGGTTGGTAATCCGGGAACGCCTCAGATCTCGGTGGACGGGCTGGGTCCGATAGAAAAGCGGGTATTTTGTGATTACTGAACGCAGCCAAAACTCTGCCGAGGTATTGAATAAGTGTACGATTCATCCAATGAGATTATCTGAATCAACGACACCATTCCGCTTCCGCTTCCGCTTCTCAGAAGACGATTACTATTCATATTGCCAATTACACCCGCCCTTGCTTGACTGTTGCTCAGAATGACGCCTTTTATCGGCCTTTGCCACATGAAATGTTCCTTCGGGCTTTCTCTGTCGATGATAAGGCGACATTGTAATCACCAAATGGAGAAGCAATACCCGCCAAAGCCCACATGGTTCCAGGTCCTGACCTATCGAGGAAAGAGGAAAGCCAAAAAAAACTTCTTAACATTGCCTCAAGCTCAACCATTTACGGGTCCAGGCTAAGATAATCTTGCAGAGGTTAAGCTGCTTACTCGTACCCTCTAGAGCAACACGGCGATGCCAAGCGCGGCTGCGGTGGCGGCTGGACCTAGATTACTGATTACTGGTCTGTGTAAGTGAGCTGAAAGAGAACACGTGCTAGAATATTGTCCGTTGGAGTGTGAGATTTTCCCACGTGTACGGGATTGAGATGGGTGGACGGAGCCTACGTGGGAGGCGTCACGGCAAATGTCACTCCGATCTTTGTAGTACCACGCTTTGCCCTTGTTGCGATGCCTGATTGGACTGCTTAAATGCTACCCTTTGACGATGATTCACCTTGTTCCGTAACTGGGGGCTAGGGAAATGCAACGATGCGTATTAGGAATGGGAGTGTTCAGCCGTGTCTGTGTGTATCTACCAGGTAAAATGCTTACCACGAGATACGCTTGATACGGTCAGCACATGGCAGGTTACAGGCACGGCTTCCAGGATCATTACGCTGCATGAAATCCATCGTTATCAACGCACAAGACGAAATCAGCCTTCAAAATTACACCTGTAGCAGCTCGTAATAAGTAATACCGTGCAGCAGTATACCTCGGGCAAATGGATGGCAGCCACCTGCGTAATATCGTAAAGCTACCAGGGCGAAGGATCCCAGCTATTGAGCTCGGTGCACCTCAACGAAGTTGAACCTCCCAAGCGTATTTGCCGATGGCTTTTCACAGATAACTGGAGCTTGTGTATGTTGAGGCGTGATATCGGCTGAGGGCTCAGTAATCGCGGAAGCTTCACCTTCGGGGCGACGCAACCGGGACGAAGACAGCCGACGCGCATGGCGACATCGAACTTAATCTGAAACCCTAAAATAAAATTGATAAGGTAAGAAACTGTTCGAGAGTAATCTGGAAAATACTTTGGTTGAAATTGCAAATGTGCCAAGTCTTGTAGAAGATGGGACAATCGTGACCGAGTCGCCCGATTATGTGATCCCGAGGCTCGAAAGCCCGGCTCCGGACCTGCATCATGGACCGCACCGTAGCGCCGGACCTTGCGTATTATCAAAGATGCATGAGATAATGTGGAATCAAGAGGCAAATTACTAAACTTTAGTTTCTTTGGCTTATTCAAATTCGGAGCTATGACAAAGATTACCCAAAATACTCTTCACCTGTCTAATACCATCTGGGACCAGTGTAAGCTGCCTTGGAGTCATTCCCTGTTTTGAGGTACCTATAATACTTGCAGACTCAATTAGACGATGATTTGGAAGACTTTCTAGCAGTTTTATGCACTCATTGATAACATTTCTTCGAAACAAATATAATTTCATTATCATCTCAACTTCAACAGCTATGTATCTAGGAACGATAATACGAGGCTCAACAAATTTAGCACTATCTAGCAAAGATTCTCAACAGTCGGAATAATCACAATTCGTCTGTTTCGAACATACCCATTCCAGTCATTTCTACATCCTCTCCTAGTGATTCCAGTCTGGGCCTCTTTCTCATGCGGATATCCAAATCCTCGATCTCCATGTCTGATCCTCTGACTGGGCTATTAGTACGCAAGGCCGACTCGGCGGATTCATTCTTGATCTCGGGGGCCACATATTCTGTTTGGTTCGAGCGATTAGTATCCTGGATGGTGGCGCCGTTATCTAACAGTAACTGAACAAGATCCGAGGAGCCGTCTTCCCCAGAGTGATAACGCTCTTGGGCATAATCTATGGGTCTTTTGCCATCGTGATCAGTGGCATCAACCCTGGCGCCCTTGCTTAACAGGGACTCGGCTGCTTGTTGGTGACCAGCCTTAACAGCTAAATGTAGCGGCGTTGCACCGGTATTATCAGCGGCCTCGATGTCAGGATTATGACCCAACAGTTTCTTTACTGCCTCTTCGTGACCCTCACACCGACATTCCTCCCATTCGTTATATGTCGAGGAAACAGCCTTATGCAGTGCTGTCTGGCCATTTTCATTGGTGGCATTGATATTTGCACCCGACTTTAGCAGCAGACCGACGAGATCAGACTCGCCCATCATGGCTGCGCAATGTAGCGGCGTATTGCCACGGTCATCAGTAGCTTCAAAATCTGCTTCCTCGTCCAACAGCGTTTCAGTATCCTCATAATTGCCATACATAGCTGCGAGATGCAGCGGTGTGTGACCATTTTGGCCAGCAGGGTTGATGTTAGCATCTCTTTCCAGCAGTACTGGAACAATAACTCCCAAGCCAGTGTAAGCTGCAAGATGTAGTGGTGTATCGCCCCAACGGTCTATAGCTTCGATACTGGCGCCGCCGTTCAGCAGTTGCTCAACAACGTCTTCATCGCTATCCTCAGCTGCGATATGTAGCGGTGTTCTCCCAAGCTTGTTCTTGACTTTCGTCTTGGCCTTGTTGTCCAGCAGTAGCTGAATAATATCTTTATCGGCACGATGAGTTGCGATATGCAATGCTGTCTCTCGGAATTTGTTCTTTACGTTGATAGGAAACTTGTTTAGCAGTAGTGGAACAGCTTCGGTGAGCCCAAACCAGGCCGCTAAATGCAACCCCGTAGTTTGTTGTTTCAATCCTGAGTCACCGAGTCTGTCTTCGTGCCATTGAACATGCTTAAGTATTTTGCGATATGATTTGATCCTCGCTGTGTCTGTTAGAAACTCCTTTACTTCACGGCTTAGGAGCGGCTCTTCGCGAGCATGTTTACCCCAATAAAGAGAGGCATAACCGTAAAATGGATGAGAATCTATGTGTGATATGATAGGATCGCGGTCGTCGCCTGGTATAAGCTCGGATACTTTGTATGACAAGTAGGTAATGCAGGTTCTTGTGATTTTGGAGCGGGCTTCTGGGAACCATATCACGAACATCTGTTGGAGATATTCTTGGGCTGTGTGATGAATCAATTCGATAATTTTGCTTTCATCACCAACCTTTACCAGACCAGCACATACAGAAACCATACGGCCAATGTCTGGCATGTTTCCGTGGTCAAATTTTGACTCTCCTGGTTTCACACTGACGGCGTGCTGAAGCTCAGTAACTCTCATTGGCCTCTTCGCTAAGATAAGCCAGGACAGAACCGACGATGCGAGTTCCTTTTCCTGTTCCGATTGGTTATCGATTATCTTCATCATATTGGTATAATGTTCATCGTATGTCGCTGAATTGTTTAAATCAGCCGTAACCTCGTTGGGGGTTGTTGTTCGTTGCAGTGATTGGAGACGGAGACGGGCCGCGAGAAACCTTGCTGGATTAGCGCAAGCAATTGATTGAAAGTGCACAGTTTACTTACATTCCTTGAGCGTTCAGAGAGACACCATGAAAGACCTCATCCTGCAGTTTAGGATCATCCTGGATAAACCTTGGAAGATGCACCATGCTAGCCTTGACGTATCTTTGGACATCTTCGTTGCTCGCACGTATTTCCAATGAATGGATGCTCGAAAATCCACTTGTAATTTCCGGGTCAAACCGGGACGTTACAAGAATGTTGGCCCCTGTTTCAGTTCGTATTTCAGAGATGCACCGCGTAATTGCCAATCGAGGGTCCTTGGGCGGCTTATAGTGGTCAAGTGCGTCGATCAGGACATAAACCCTTGGGTATGACATCGTTACGAATTTGAGAGCTTGAAAGAGATCTTCGTTACTCGGCCGAGTCCGTCTGCCGGGGTTATTGTTTTTTTCGTAGAGCCTATACACTACCTCGGGTAGAGAAGGTAGATATGCAACCAACTGCCTCAAGAGGCATCCCAATAATCTACCGATGTTTTGTTCATCTTGCAGTTTATAGTCGAAATAGAAATATGCGATACCCGGTTTTGGGTCTTCCCGGAACTTGGATAAGAGGTGATCAACTACAACTGACATCATAATTGTTTTGCCCGCCCCCGGCATGCCTGGACAGAGCAACATCTGGTTCTCTTCTTTGACCCATCTTTGGAACTTGTCGGCATTGAGAAACCATTCTCCGGATCCTTTCTGTCGTACTCCTTGATGATCAGCTTGCTGTGTACTGTAGTCAAGTGGAGAGAGCCAATCAAGGATGGCCAGGTTGATTTCAGCATGATGCCTGTTATCAAGTTGATTGAGGCTGTTTTGAACTTCTGAGGTAAAAATAAGTAAAATATTAAGGACATGTAGAGGCTAATGTGGGTTCAAATTAACTAACTGGAGAGAACAGCTGTAATACGCGTCTCAGTCTCAATTGCAGCAGGAGAAATCCGTCCAATGAGATCTTTTGCATATGCTGCTGCGGTCATTGCTGCGTAGCCCTGCCATATGTTGTTCTTATGCGAATCTGAGTAGTCGCATATCCCCCGAATAACTAGACAGGGGAAATGATTCATCAACCCAGCTGCCTCCATCTCAAAACAAAGAATATCTTTCTTAAATGCAAGTTTATCTCGAATCGACGCATCTTTCATTAGCTGACTACCGGATGCGATAAGACCATAGTGAATTGTTGGATCATCTTCATCCACTGCTCGTTGCCCTCGCGACACTAGCATTGAATCGCTACAGGCAATTGCACAACCTTCATTGCTTGTTGAAGGGTGAACAGCGTCGTTGAGATAGAGTCGATCAGTCCTAGGATCAGGTCGTTGATAATTTTTCCTGAGTTTCGGTTTTTTGGCCAAGATGCTCTTTATCGTCTCTTGAATTTGATGGCCATCGCTCTGGTAACGAGCCTTGAGGTCGCAAACCGCGCTCCGTAAGAGAGTAGGAGGTTGGTCAAGAAACTTTTTATCTTGAAACTCTTGGGCCTGAATCGTTTTCCCAAAATCATATTGAAATATTCCCCCATGTTCATCTTGTGGAGTGCTAACAACAACATCTCCTAGGCGGATATCATGCCTGGTTGGGACGCCACCCCCGATACCCACCATCAGACCAACCCTGACATTAGGAAAGCTACTCAGCATGTCTCTAGCAACTGAGGCCGCGGCACTGATCCCATATCCTCCGTCTGGTAAGGCAGCAATAACAACGTTGTGCTGTCCCATTTTCCCCAGTGTATATATGTTGCTATCGCGAGAGGAGACGGCATTGGGCGGAGCATGCTCTTCGTCGAGAAATGCTCTGGCAGCAACTAGTTCTGTGCTAATAGCACATAGCCAGCCAACAGTGTAGTCTTTGGGGTTCGACATGATTGTTATCAGATATTTTAGCTAATCAATAGCAGTGAAAGTCTTTGGTTTTAGAAGAAAGTAGGTGTGATATGAGAGGCTGAGGATGTTAGAAGAATAGCAGTTATGGTGGCAGGAAGAGCGTATATATATTCAGAGCCCTCACCCATATATCGAGTGCAAGTGACTGAAATATCACGCAGCCAGTCCATTGTAATTAGAAGCCCAGCCCGGTTCATTCAACTCCTGCTTGGTGTACCCAACAAGTTGAGCTCACACATAGCGGTAGATGAAACGAGGCTGTACATTGTACTACAAGCTAGAAGTGGTAAGAATATCCAATTAAGGTTGAAAAATGCGCCTATCCGATGCAGCGCGCGTCTATCGGCGATTAAGGCTGTTTCTTCACCAATCTATAATTACAAAGTATAAGCAGTGTCATGGTAATACATACTTTGCCACGCTTGGCGGGCGTCTACTAGGGAATAAACCGGTTTTTCATCAGTTCTAGAATCAAAATGTATGAGCAGTACCACGGTATTACGAACTCTGCCACGCTTGGCGAGCGCCTATCTATCTACAGTTGTTGAACAAATATATTTATATGCTACAGATATGTTACCCCTATCGGCTAAATGAGGCGTAAGGCACAGTTTAAGGCAAACGAAGGCCTATCTTACCTGCACATCTTACCTACTCATACAGAGGAGTCTATGCAAGACAAGAGTTGCCGCCCAGCATCCCGTGGGACAAATACTCAAAAGAGTATCAGATGCTAGCGAAATAGGTGACAAGAATAGCAGATAATAGAAGATTGCAACAACAGTTGTAGATATTAGAAGAAAGCAACGCTGGTAGAAGTTCCGGAAAGTGTCAGATAAGAGATGCCTTCTATTTTGTCCATACAAGATCTAGATTGTAACCACTGGGGTGTTCAATAGCCAAGTCAGGAGCTGGATAGCGAGTCTCTAAATAATCCGTGATATGCAGACCTGAGTTTCTCTAATCTTCAACGCTTTTCTGTTATGCATTTAGTGAAATTGTATCTGGTTCGTGCCTGTTCAACGGCTAGTCTGCGTTAGCAAGATATCAAAACATCAGCGTGAGTATTACGGGCCCTTAAGGATAATGAGGCGTGGAGCAGAGAAGGTGATAGCCCCAGCTACTCTATTTGACAGCTCTTTCGCTGAGAAAGGATTGAACAAGAACGGTCATGAAAGGGCAGCGGGTTTTTTTAAACTGGATCAATGTACAAGGGCATAGCAAAAGTGCCATGTCTGCAATTGCCTTCCCCCATCTCATCTATTCAGGTAACTCCCAAAGGAATTTGCAGAGGATTAGTAGTTTATAAAAAGAATGATGTTAGCAGTAGCAAACAGACAAACATAGAAGGTGGTGTGAATATGTTTAAATAGTGGAAACACGACCTCTCCTTCATTTCGACAGTTGATGTCTCTGTTATTCCGCTGCTAGTGAGGAACAATAAGGTTCCGTCAGCGTATGTAAGATGTTTACGTGCTATAAATGTACAAGGGTTAATTTGAACAGAGGAATAGACAATAATAACTTGAAACATCATCAAACAACGTAAAACAAAACTCATGGCCTCAGTCCCCCAAAGGTATCATCATTGGTCATGAAGGAGGAAAAGAATAAAAATGGTGGAGTTGAGCTAAATCCCCATATAGACCTCAGCCCGCCCCCCTCCCCCAAGCAGGCATCGGTCAAAAGAAAAGAACAGATACTACACGGCGGGGATAAACTCATTTACCTTCCCACACACTACCCTCCGATGCGATACAGATGTAAGAGAAAATAAGAGATGAGAAGGGGGGAGGCTGCGAATTTATAGATTTCTCAGCGTCTGCCTAAATGTTATAGTTTGCAAAGGCGCAAAATTTTTGAGCTGCCCCAAAGGTAAAGAACATCTTTTTACGCCACAAGGGAAAAGAAAATCTCGCATCAAATCTTCACATGGCAGATTATTAAATGAATGAGTTAATCTCCGCCACTTGTTATCGGAATTGGGCTGTCGTGTTCGAACTCCGACTCAACTAGTTACGTCGGAATCACACAAGATTCTGCTTAGACAGGTATCAATCTAGCCATGAGCTCGTGGATTATAAGGCTTGCTTTTGTTAAATAAGGTTTTAAATTTGAGCTTATGCAACTACTAAGTCCATCTGCGTGTTCATAGAAGGTAAGAAGCTACATGTAGTAACAATGTAGGTGAGTCTGCCCTTCTCACATTGTAACTTGCAGCCTTAATAGAAGCTGCCAGGCCTTTGATAGCTGGTGATTTTATACAGTTAGAAGGGGATCATTGATCAAATAGAGCCTTGCTTACATAGTTGGTAAACAGTCTTACGCAGGTAGCGGCGAAACAACTTCTTCGACATTCATCAATCTTCATGTCAATGCCGAGCCTGGCATTTGCTTCGGATGCGCATACATAGTGATAACTAACGCCATATTCGCCAATGTAAGTGGCTTGAGGGCGTAAATGTCTGCACCGAAACCTCACCGAAGCCCTTCGTCATTGGTCAAATCACCACTTTGTCTGCATAACGCAGACACAGGTCAGATGTTGACACCCAAGCATATGCGTGGCAATTTATAATGACAACCCAGTATAGGACACATGTAATCTCATCAAATATGCACTATATATGAGGCTTGCATGTTGGCCAAGACGCTGGCGCAATTTGTGCTGCCAATATTTCGGGCTTGTCAAGACTGAAGCGCTCTTAAGACAACGATTAGCTGAGTATTGAGCTCAACTGACAACTCAACAAGTTTCTCTGTCAAAACTCCAGCTAAGAGGCCTGAGGCAGGTATCTAGGATAAATCTGACGTGCGGAAGTCATAACGTTACCAAGTTGTCGCTGGGTACAGCAGGAATAAAAAGCAGATTTCACGTAGCATTACTATGACTAGCCGGCACTGAATGTGTGCAATGTAGGCGCATCTTGTATCCCAGTATGTGAGAACTCTGCCCTTGCGTCTTGCGTCTAAGCGAGTAGTATACTCTTCCCTTTTTGTCGGGATAACGCGCCATCACAATGGTGCCAAGACATATGAGCTCTCACCATAGGCTCTTCGGAGACTTATACTTGAGAATGATTCGCAGCCTTATCTCATTTGGCAAAAAACGCCACTTGAAATTGCCTTTATGATGATTTGCAAACTATCTTACGCCACAGCAATGCGTAAGACTCCTACTCCAGTAACGCATGACCACGTTTGCTAATAGTACAGCTCAGCTGGCTGCAGAATAGGTTTGTATGCAGGGATGCGAGATAAAGCACAAAATACTCTACAGGGGATTACAGGATCTTGCCCAGTAATACACAAAGAAGCGATCAAGTCTTTTATGGTGTATGCTGCTGTGCTTTGTGTAACTAGGTTGACCCGTCTATATAAGATTTAAGAAGTCCTTCTCTAGGTGAATCAATTTTACAGCAAAGCAGAGATCTATAATAACAATGAGAAACTTTACTCCTGAATGCACGCTTCCACCCAACGGGACATATGGCGGACATGTCCATGGTGTAAACACCAGGTCAACTCTAGAGATTGTCTGGAGTTGCATCGGTATCATTATTTTGTCTACATGGTCCATCCTCCACCTCGACCTCCCTGCAGATGTTGTTACAAAGGGTTTCAGAGAGTGGCTTTGCAAAGATATAGACCTCCTCTGGCGGGAAAGTATTCTGGATGGGCCTGAAACTCTTCTCTCCAGAGTTTGCCGCCACCGGCTGCGCAAGAAAGATTTTTGCTACTCGGTCCAATTCAGCAATGTTGGAGCGACTTGCACATCTAGATGGGGTTCCTTGGAGCTTGAAGCACACCATTCTTGTTGATATGGGCGGAATCGCTCTTCGATTCCTCCCACCAAAGGATGGTGAGACTCCAACACCAGACCAGGCCAGGCAGAGAATATTACCCGATAATAAAAAAAGACCTCAATTCATTAAGGATTTCTGTAGGAGACAAAATCGACTTCTGAAATGGTGTGGAAAAATTCCGTGGGATTTGTGGGAGTGCCATGTGCAGCATGCTTCCGATATGGAAAAAGGCATACAGCCATCCACTAGAGCCGAATCACAGGAAGAATTGACTTTCAGCGAAGCCGACGTCGCAGCATTAGCTGGAAATATCTGGATACTAGATTCCAAGCAACTTGCGATCGCACGAAAGAGGGGAATTATTACAGAAATGCCAAAGATCAAGGAAGAAGCGATCGACGATAAAAGCAAGTCAGATGGGCTTGTGAAAATCATTGCTGTGCTCCAGGTACTCTGGCTCGTCGTCCAGCTAGTAGTTCGAACCATTGAGGATCTGCACTTCACCCAACTGGAAATCACTACAGTCGCCTTTGCTGCAACCGCAGTAATTATATACAGCATTGACTTTATTAAACCCAAAGACGTCAACGTGCCTTTCTACATAGATGTAGAGAAGGCTGTCGAGTACGACGATTTCGTTGCTACTGCCGAAGCAGCTCCATTTGCATATATACAGGGCAAGCGATATTATATGCCAACTTCTACTTTGCACGACATAATTGACTACCAGGATGAGGATATGATCTCAGACGACGATCCACACAGCCCAGAATGCAACATCTGCTTGCAATGGAAAAGTTTTATAGACAGCACGCGATCTAAGAATAACAAGTGTTCCTGGCGCAACCCTTATAAACTTTCCCCGAAAGCAGCCGATATTTTCTCATTGATGATTGGATTCGCGTCGGCTACTTCGTTTGGAGGTGTCCACCTCTTTGCATGGAATTCTGACTTTCCCACACACGTCGAGAGACTCTTGTGGCGAATCTCAGCTCTAATGACCATCGTCCTGCCTTACATTTACATTGCTACCCATGTACCTTATATCGGATACACGGTCGCAGACATCCGAAAGCAAATGAAATTGCCGATGAACATTGCTCTGGGGTGTATTGCAATATGCTATATCCCTTGCCGGCTTTTTCTAGTTATTGAAAGCTTCAGGGCGCTGTACTATCTTCCTTCTGAAGCCTTCAAGGCAACACCAGCGGTTATGAGCATTCCGCACTTGGGATAATCTCAGAATCAGATACGAGTGGATCTTGAGCAAAGAAAGTGTATATGGGTCAAAATTGTGTACCAATTGTCCATATTCAACCCGCCTCACATCTTTACTCGTTGCACCTGTCATTCGAAGGCTTGAGGCTCTGTACAACATACATTCACTAGCCTCTTCTATGTCATATACCATGCGACACTTATCTAGGTTCCTTTATTAAACAGTATTGTATACTTACTAAATGCTATACGATTCTAACACTTACTTTACCTACATATTTCTGAGCCTCCTTCAATATTTGTTAGGTTCTTCTTCTCACGTAGTAGTGTGAGCTAGCCGTACTTGCCAGATATTCCAGGGCCTCTCTCAGCTTCGGCAGTGTAAATACTCTTTTATCCATAACCGGCTGAATCCCATTGACTTCTATTACTGCCATCGTTTCCTCCATAAGAACTCTTGAGCTAACATAGATGCCGCAAAAGGTATATAGATCTTCGACAGCGCAGACATGATGCTCTCTAGTAGAACCACCCTATAGCCAGTCGGCAATTGTCGTATAAACTTGATTAAGGTCTTCCTAATGGGTTTCGATGACCCTAGAATCTATTATTGTAGAACCTCTGGCTGTTGAGACCGCTTCAACTAACAGGCGTGTCCGCCTCCGTGTCCGCCGCCTCCACCATCATGGTGTCCGTGGCCTCCATGTCCGTGACCTCCGAAGTGAAAATTTCCGTGGCCTCCGCTGGTGTCATGATGTCCGTGGTGTCCGCTGTCATGATGTCCATGGCCTTCACTACTATCATGATGTTCATGACCTCCACTGCCGTCAGGATAATCCCCCCCGCTATTGTCAGTCTGTCCATGCATTGCAGACTGTGTCGCTAACATTGCTGATGTCTTATTCAAGTGGGCTTCAACAAATTCCTCAAGAAGCGCGATGAAATCATCGATACTCTGTTGTTCGGCTGCGCTGAGATAATGTTTCATTCGCTTCAAATGTCTAGTCCACGTTGCAACACCTATGACCTGATAACCCAGCGCTGGTCGCTCAAGGTAACTGTAACCGCCCAAAGAGCTCTGCCGAAACCAAGCCCAGTCTGGTGCTTTCTTGGTCACGACTTTGTCGGCCAGTTGCTGAAGGAAGTCGTGGCAGTTATTCGATAAGAGAGAATATTTCCCAAACTTCATCGAGATTCGATGACACTCCTCGTCAATCCGTTCTTTGGAGAGTGTCGTCCAACCTATCATGCTATAGAAGTAATGACCAACTTCGGGGGAATATCTCGTAATGACCGACTCCTTGTACGCCTTAAGGTTAAACCCAGAGGGACCAATCGTCGCCTCATAGACTCCAGGGGTGTTCGAATCGCCGACTTCTGTCTGGCGTAATTCGTACTTGTAATCATGAGCATGCAAAACCCAGTGACGGAATTGGCCCTGGCTGATATAATGCGACAAGAAAACCGGTTCGCCGGACTCGACGCTTGATTCTTTCTCGAGACGAGCGGCGACGATCTTGTCCAGGGCCGCTTTGTACCACTTCTTGATATCTGCTTTGGATGCCTCCTTGCCCTTGGCCTTGGCAACAACGCCGCTTTTCGATGAAGCGGCAGCTTTTGCTTTTTTGCGGGATGATGCGATGGCGGCTTTGATGGATACGATGACAGCGATCGCTGCGACAATGACTCCAACTATCGAAGCCATGATTCTCACGGTCGAAGCACCGTTGTCTGAAGGCATGATTGATAAGGTTGTGTGATAGTGACGGTAATAAAGGGGACTGATAGTGAATGAGCATCCGATAGGAGTTTAGATTCGCTGCGAGACTGCACTCGTCCTGATTATGTATGTGGCAGGATGATACATCAAGGAAATGCCTCGCCTCGCCTCACCTTCGCCATGGCACTTTGCGAGGCGGATTCACAGCCTTATTCCGCAGGATTTGTGCGACATATGCGGGTGCAAGACAAGGCGTGACAAGGCACCCAAAGAATGAATATTCATGAAAAATACTCTCCTGTATTCATTTTGAAGTACGCGAATATATTCTACATTGATGACTGTATATACCAATATCTAGAGATTTTCGACTTTTAACGGCATCAATGTTGGTAGAATGGCATTCGACAATTGACAGTTTCCCTGTTGGTACGAGTCACGCTTCTGTCTGCACACCCCTTGGCAAATAGGCAACAACAAAAGGAATCCCTCAGCCGAGCAGATCTTCTTCGTATGCGGTTTCGCGCACCGGCTAAAGGCTGAAACCCCAAAAACGCCTCGCTCGTGCTACTTTAATTGCAATTCACGAGCTCTGAAGATGGTGACTCACCAAAATAGCCACCGCCGAAATCCGGCATATTCGATGAAATCTAAGATTTCGACGATGCTAAATACAAGAGTTGAATGCTGTCAAGGACCGAAGTATGGGAGAATCTAGTAGAGGGGAATCGAGTACTTTTGTCTCAGAGGATACAAAAAATAAAAGACATCACACTTGAAGGAAATAGTTGACGGGATCTCATATACTCTAATGGATAGGTAGGATGGCCGTATGTCGCAGACCTCCTCCCAACCAAGCCTCATAATTCACATCGCAACAACCGCAAAGTCGTTCATCAGATTGGTATCAAAACAAGAAAGAAAGGATTCGAGTCATTCCATCTACAGCCTCTGCCCTCATCCCATAACCCACATAATAGTACACAGATCCCTTGAGCTACCGTATACGAGCCCAGCCCAGCCAACAACCCATCCCATCCCATCCCATCAATCCCATTTCATACACGGCGTATTCTCATCTCATGCCCATATTATCCATATCAATCTTTCCCAATTCATTCCTCGTTCCGCGTTCCAGAATTCTCTCATTTCATACACTCTCCTGTCTATATGATTCTAAGCCTTGAAATCAGCTCCGTATTCCGTCCCCACGTTAGTCTCGCCATCGTCGTCATCATCTTCAATGCTGGTTCTTCGCTGTGCCTCCTTGACTTCTATCGCCCTCTTCTCAGGCTCCTCATCTCCCTCTCCTGCCATGCGAGCATCGTCGTCCCCCTTCTGCTCGTCCTTGCCTTCGCTCTTCTCTTTCTCAGCTCTTGAGCCAAAGGGCCACAGGCCGCTTAAGCCTCTACTGCTTTCCCTGGGTGGGTGGACTGCAAGAGGCTTCAACACCACGTTATCCTGGTCTTGCCCTTCTCCGCCCTTGTCTTCCTCTGGCATGGCGAAATCTCCAAATTCTTCTTCGTCGTCATCAGAGTCTTCCTCCTCGAGCCCGCTTCTCCTGTTGACAACACCTCTCCACCATGATCCGCGGCCTATGTTGCCAGACATTTCATCGTCCAAGTCGTCATCAATATCGGCCTCTCCATCACCAAACGGATCTTCAAGGTTGTCGTCGTCATCATCATCGTTGTCATCGTGAACCGTGGCCGACGTGGCCTGTGCAGCCTGGTTATTCTTCTGATGCATCGCCAGCCGCGCCGCAAGCTGCAGCCGAGCTCTCGAAGGCGGAATGTTCAGCGGAGGCGGCGGCGGAGGAGGCGGCGGGATAGACGGCGGAGCCAACGATCCCTGGTTCAGCGGGTCAGTATAAGATCGGAACTAAGCCTTGGGCATCAGCAAAACAAGCTTCCTGAAATTGAAGCAAGAGGAATGCAGGGAAGAGAGGCAGAAAGAGAGAGATGGGAAAGGGAAAGGAAGAGTAAATGAGCGTTGGCAGTTGATCAAAGTCCCTAAGGCTGACAAATGGTGCATGATAACATCTTTCTCCCCCCTTTTTGTTTTCTGATGCGGTATTCTCTCCTCGAACAATGCTGCAAAAACAATGCCATCTTCCAAATTCGTTTTCCTCGGCTTTCTTGTTTCTCTTTCAATGCGCTATCCACAATAAAAAAAAAAACAAGAGGCTGTCATCTGATTCTCCAATCTTTATCCACAAAGGTAAAACAAATTGCCTCAACGCCCATTCATATTCAATGCTCCCTCTGTCTCCCCTCCGCCCTCGCCAGCAGCCTCGAGAGATACTCCAGCTCCAATCCAATGACGTCGAGACTCTCTAGTTCTTCATCATCAGGGCCGGAGGACCCTAGCGCAGCAGAGGCTCCAGGCATGTCGTCGATGGTATCATTATTAAAGCTGAAGATGGCGTCTTCTGAAACTTGTTCCTCGTCCTAAGAGAAATCTATCCTTCTATTGGGGCCTTGGCTTGGATCTCGCCTCTGTATCCATCCTCCTTCCTCAATCACCATGATGTCCTGGTCCGATGGATCCAGGTCAGCATCGGCTTCCAAGGCCATTGCGTCTGGAGATACCGCTCTGATCGGTTCGGGAGACATCATGATGACATCTTCGGGTGTATATGGCATGCCCATTGTCGCCTCAGGAGACTCGTTGCCGTGCTCATCGGAAGAATCATTACTCACCTCGGAATTCACATCCTCTTCATCCCCATCGCCCTCATCGTCGTCTTCGTCGCTACTACTTCCAAATCCAGACATCAGAGTGCCCGCGCTGATCGCAAAGGGACCAATTCCGTTACCATCTCCCTCATTCATCTCCATACCGCCGTTGAGGCCAGCCTCTGCCAAGGCATTCGATCCGCTGGCCGTGTTTGCAAGGCCTGACAAGCCGATGCCGCCCAAGCCACTAGCTCCGAGGCTGGCTCGGTGTCCCAAGGCCACCTCGGGTCGAACGCCACCCAGAATTGCATTGTCTCGCTCTCGTGTTTCCGCGAGAGCACCTTCCACATAATTGATCCAATCTTGGCTCATAACCTTGTCGAGGACCATTTCTGACAGAAGCTCCGGGGGGTGGCGTTCGGTGAACTTGACAACCTCCTCAGCAATCAGCGTGAGGTGTCCCATGTATCCCATGCGGGTCTTGGTCCTGGCCTGAGATTCGTCGCTGGCTTGCTGGCCCTTAATGATGGCGCTGGTGATGTCTGCAGCCTCGAAGAGAGACACAGCCAATGTCGGGTTGAAACCACGGTCCATCGGACCGTTGAACACTTGCTGTACAATATCATACACGACGTTGTGGAGGAAGTTGTTCCAAGGGTATGCAAAGAAGAATGACTGCTTGATGTTAGCTGGGATCTGTTGCAGAATTGTTAGGCCACACATACCAATATCGCCGGAACAACACGATACTCAACAAACTGCATTTTGAGAAAGTCGCCCACAACAGCTTCGGTAGCATCGCCTGCTACTGTCTCTGCAGGTTTCTCGCCAGCTGCAGCTTCAGCAAGGCCTGGCTCAGAGCCTGGGGGTGGTGTAAATGACTGTGGTGGCTCTTGGACGCCGGAATCAGGGGCAAGGGGAACAGAGAAGAGAGGGGGCGGGGTATCTTCAGGATGGGGGGATAGGCCACGAGATTTTTCAATCTCTTCAGGAACCAACTCAGCAACAGAGGCGGGGGCTTCTTGAGGAGTGCTGGTGACTGGCTCGCTCTTCTTCACCTCGTCTTCCCTGGGCAGCGGCGATGGCTGCAACCCAGGCTTTGTGGTTTCGGATTGGGACGAAGAGTCAGTCGCAGATTGTTCTGAAGCCGCTGCGCTGCCTGTGCCAGCTGTCTCTACTACAATGGGCCCAGAGAGAACAGTTGCAACTGTCTCAGGCTTTTGTTCCTCTGCAGTAACCTTGCTTTGATCCTCGACGGCAGGAGGGTTCTCCACTTCCGATTTAGCCAGCTCGGGAGACTTTGCCTTTGTGGGTGAAAGAGGCGCAACAACAAGGTCCGGTACTTCAAAGCGCTGTTCGTTCATCCCCGCCGTGGCCACTGCTAGCCGAGGAGAGCTGAGAGGCTCGTCGACAAATTCCTCCTCGTCCTTTTCGAGGAAGGAAGATGAAGATGCGTTCGCGCCGGGTGCAATGTCGTCCTCGGCCTTGACAAACTCGTGGGAGGTGTCTTCGTTCAACTCATTGGTGGGCTCCACCTCTTCAAAGCCATCGTCATCGGCATTGGTGACTTCCAGGCGGCGGACCTCCTCATGGTGGGATGGGTGAGGGATGCGCATCGTCAAGTCATCGGCAGATCCGTCATCGTCTCGGGGAGTCAGCTTGCCCTCGGCTCGAAGGCGCTGTCGCTCAAAGTCTCGAGTTGCAATCAACTGTTCCGAGCCAATCTCGTTGAGCAAGCCCATGTTGCTGCAGTGCAAGAGCTCTGCCATGAGCTCACAAGTCTTGAACCTGTCGAATCCAAGAGGCTCGAGCTTCTCGTTGAAAGTCGAGTCGACGCCCTGCTTCTTTGATGGCTCGTTCATGATGAGGTTCATAAACTTGGGCACATTCTGGGCAAAAAGCCTCAACAAATTACCGAGGTAAATGGGGTCGCGACTGGAAGGCGTGGTGTTGGCCTCTGTTCCAACATCCGGATCGTAGTCGGAGTTGTTTTTCCGAATCACCTCAATGATGATGCCGACACCAACAGTCAGAGGGTTGCCGCCTCCAAGCATGTAACCAACCAGTTGCTCGACACAGGGCTTTGAAACGAGCTGACGTGTAAGCTCGTTGGGGCCGATGCACTGCTGCTCGTTCTGCGAGGCGTTGGCAGAGATGGTGATGATGGCCTTGATAAAGTCGCTTGCGGCGGTCTGCACAACCCAGCTGTGCTCAGGACCGAGGAAAGAAATGAGTGTTGGAATAATGTCCTTGGAATACAGCCACTGGTGGTTGGATGATTAGCATAGAGGCAGCATACAATATTCAAAGATGGGTTCAACCAACCTCAACAACGCCTTGACCACCTTCTGTGCGATCAAGGGCAATGATTTTGAGCAGCAGGTCCATGACCATAGGACACTCAACGTGCCTCAGCATATCGGGAATGACATTGGGCAAGCTCCAAAGCAGTTCCATCATCTCCTCCGTCTTCTTCTCAAAAAGCGACTCGTTGACCTTGGTAAAGTAGCTGGCCTGCAGAGGGTCTAGCGGCGCGGGCCGAGAGAGGAAGTTCCAAAAGTCGCGGATCAGCTGTCGGTTTTCGACAAGGGCCTCGTATATAGACCAGGTATCGGAGCTCAGGACCTCGCAAGCGACATGTGCATAACGGTTGCGCTTCTTGTCCAGCTCGTCGTCATTTTCGCCGGGATCGGTGGCGCGCGAGGATGCGCGAGGGCGGGAGAAGGGCAGCAGGCGGCCCTTTGTCTTGATGTCATCATCGGCGGGCTCCTCAGCGCTCTCGACGGCCTCGAGCTTGGGGGCAACAGTATACTCGAGGAGCTTCTCCAGCACCTTGTCCTCGCGCAGAAACTCGATGAGCTTGGAGTTGTGCTGCTTCAGCTCTTGTATCAGGTCAGCCTCCTCAAGCAGCTCTTCGAGGGTGAAGTCGGGCTTGTCGAGGATGGTGTCGATGGTCGAGATGTTGGCGTAGCCGCCAAACCTCCAGAACATGGTGGCGGGTCGATGCTACCGCGCCGAGCGAACAAGCTGTCGCCGGCGGTGAGGTAGATGAGGCGTAGGAGGGGCGATTGAGCTGAAGGGGAACACGCGGCGGATGTGCTCCAAATACCGGCTGCAGGCTCAGGATTTGTCTGGTTAAAACCGGTTAAGAAAGGGTCGTAGATGGACGATGGCCACGTCACAGGGACAAACGACGACCACGAACGCCAGCGAGGCGGTCCCGTAGACTGGAGAGAATGAAGGAGGGAGAGAAATAAAAGAAGAAGATGGAGAAGAATAGGGAAGAAGGTGTAGATGGAGGGAGAAGCCGCCGGGATTAGATAAGATGCAGATGCAGATGCAGATGCAGATGGTCGGGCATGCGGCGACAAAGAGGCCGGCACAGGACAGGCGTCAGTTCCCCCCTCGCAGCGAATCAGTCCAGCGGTTCAGCGGCAGAAGAGCTGAATTGCGCCGCCGGTCAGTTGCTGGCAGCCGCTGGTGACGGTTCTCGTAGCACTCGGACAGGACAGGCAAAGACGCAGCGCCCCTGTAAATGTGCGTCTCTTGTTCGCCTCGAAGCTGCGATTTGCAGTGCGTTGCGATTTGATGTGGGAGGGCGGTGGAGGGGGGTTGCTTAGGTTGGCTCCAGTGTGGGGAGACTTTTTTGCCCGCGATAAAGAGGGTTGAAACTCGGACCTTGTCTTATCTCATCCAGGTACGGAGTACCGCATCGGCAGGTTCCGTTGAGGTACCTCTGAGTGATTGGCGCCAGCAATGTCGTGCTTGGTGGAATACTGCAGGTACCCATTATGTACCTGAATCCGGACCACGCAGATGTACCTTTCAACATCAGGCATGCCGGAACAAGTCAAACACCAGACAACAAGGGAATCCATAACAAACAAGCTGGCGGCACACAAAACCCCCAGCCGGGACATCCCTACGGCTGCCGATGAAGTAGTACAAGTGCAGCTTAGTACGGGTAGGTAAAGTAAACAGGTCAACTGGAGAGACCTGGCGGTTCATGACCAGCCCGATCAGGGGGGCCTATCTACCCACGCGAGTAAGAGTAAGCCATCCATGACGCCGTCCATGTATCCGTAATCAGCAGCACGAGTGCGCAATATGTGACACGGCATAAACATGTCCAAGGCCGGAGAGTTTGCGGCACATGAGCAAATACACGAGGTCCATCGCTACACAGTAAGGAACATGTCTCGGCTGTTGGCAGTGATGAAGACGATAATAGCCGGGTGTATCTGCTTCATCTCTGCCAAGTTGCGTCAACTATCCACTGTACACTCGGAATCATATTTACTATCCAGAACTACAGTAGAAGAGCAGACTCGAGATGCCCAGCTTCTGATAACACCCTGTAGATAACATCTCTCCGGTGGTGTCTTGATCCATCAAATTGGGTCATTTCCCGTTGCAGGGTAGCCACATGTCCCAGACCGTTACACAGCATCCATGCATTCCAAGACACTCCACACTCCAAGTACATCACCTATTTATTCCTGCCGAGTACTGTGGTATTATCCAACTCTTCATAATGAGTGCACTGAAATCAGGGTTCTTCGACCAGAAGCATTTGTGGTGGGAAAACTATTATGAGCCATTGTGATGCAACTATACCATCTTCTTTGTCTCAACATAGTATAGACGTCATTTGGACACTCTCAAGTATACAAAAATTCTACAAAAATTCTAATAAACAGAGCATTATTGTTATTATATCTAAGTAAATGTGGCCGGGAAATAAACTGTACAAGCCCATACGCTATGCCGTTTCTAAATCATATTCACAAGCTGCAATCCTCTGTCAAGTTCCACCCTGACAGCCTTGATCTGTGCCATGTCCTTCAACAGCACTCCTCGCCACCAGCTATACCAATCAGCCACCTCTCCCAGGTCGGCCTCATCAAGCGCAAGCCATTCCTGCAATCTTCTGCTCCACATGGGGAACATGTCCTGCACCAGGACCTCTGCCAAGACCGTGTCGCCAAGGACCTGATTCCATTTCATAACGCCAACCAGGATGGGGAGATAGGGCTCTTGCTCTGCTGGGTCGACACGGAAGTTGGTGCGTAGGTATCTACCCATGGATGGTAAGACGTGCGACATGATGAGGGGTCGCCATTGGTCTCCCAACACGTCCTTCCATTGCGCCAGGCCGGGGACAACTCCCCTCTCAAACTCCCAAGCATCGATAAGGTGCCTAAACTTCCTCCTAACGTCTGCAACCAGGCCAGTGCCTCTTGGGTCAAGATGGTAGTGGGGAAGATACTGCAGCCAGGGGAACAACCAAGTGTGTGGAAGATGGTGGCTTTGCCGCTTCTTCTTGGGGTTCCAGTCCGACACTGCCGTTTCCAATTTTCGAGCCACGTTGTCTACTAATTGCGCTCGAACGAATGGCGGAAGTAAATCTTTCCAGTTTTCCATGATGCTGAGCATTGGCGTGGGGTTGAACGGATCCCAGGAGCGAAGTGCTGTCAACACTCGAGGAAGCCAGTTCTTGTACATCATTGTCTCATACGGCGTAGTAGCCTTGTGGTGTGTTCGGTATACGCCATCATCCTGACTCGCAGAAGAGTTCCACTTGTTCACGGATTGATTGCTATTGGCAGACCTGATGAGAAGACCCGATAGTTTCTGTAGGTCTGATGCAAACCGGGACGGTTCAGCCATCGGGTCCCAATCGGGGCTGCGCAGAAATGGATGGATAGCGGCTACCGCAATATCTGCAATGGCGTCGTTTGCTGACCCAGCGTCGACTGCTGTCTGGAGAGCGCTCATGACCTGCTCCCACTCTGTTGCCTCGACAAGTCGCTCAGTCACAACATTTGCAAATGTCTGCAACCTCTCGAAATCGGACCGTAAATCCTCCATCTCTTGTTCCCTCTGCTTGAGCTCCAAATTGACCCATGTCTTGCGCGACTCCAGGCTCTTCCACTCTTCGGTAAAAGCTAGCAAGTCAGACTGTGCTCTTTTGGCCAATTTTCTCGCTTCAATCACTTCATTTGATTCGGGCACGCCGGATGACGGTGTCATGATGCCGCTCGACGAGGTGAGCAATCTGCCCCCAGGACCAGTCATGTCGAGAATAGGGGCAAAAGCTTCTGGAATATTCAAGCCTGGAGCCCGCTTCTTGAGCTCGTCGGCCGTCAAATATTTCGTCCTCTGCCTCATCGGGGTGCTTCCAGCACTACTGTAAGATACCGCTCCCTTGGCCTTCTTCTTGGCCTTCCTGCGCTTCTTCTCTTCTTCTTCCGAGTCCACAACCTCTTCTCCTCGTAATCGTGCTTGTCTCTTTTCTTCTTGGCACTCTTGCTCCGTCTTCTCTTTTACTGCGCCAAGACCGACGCCTTGGGGTCGGAGGTTGGCTTCGATGATAATGTTTCGTCCTTCGCCCTCTTTACCCAGACCTTTGCCTTCCTGGTAACCCATCTTGGCCATCATTCGGGCACCAAAGGACTTTGGATTGATTTTCCCTTTTGAGCCGAAAGCACTGGCCTGAGGCTTGTTTCGTGGGGTCTCGTTTCCATCATTTGTCTCCTTTAACACGGGATCCCTGGCAGAGGATGGAACGAATCCGCCGCCGAGGACGCCGCCTGAGCTGAAATTCGTCTTGAATGATGGCCGTGTGGTAGTCGCTTTCTGTGGATTCTCCTCGCGTGATTTCTCGCCGGCTGTGAAGCGCAGCTTCATGGCCGCGTTGCCAAGCCCCAGTCCAGCTGGCCTGTCATCATCATCTTCGTCGTCCTCATCGCCGTCCTCATCTTCTTCGCCATCTCTGCCTTGGGCATTTAGGCCAATGCCCAGGCGCGGTCTTTCGTCTTCCGATTCGTCATCATCATCCTGCTCAGCGCCCTCGGCAGCAGTCGACACAAAATTGACACCTTTGCGCCTCAGCGTCTTTCGCTTCCAGCGCGAGTTGGGGTTATCGTCTTCGCTGTCGGAGCCAAAAATGCCAAGAGCTGCCTTTTCCTTATTGTTTCCGCCGACTCGCCTCTTCTTGCGGGGGTTAAAGTCGCCAAAATCGTTGTCGTCGCCGTCGAGCCCAGGAACGGTAGGCTCATCGTATTCCGACTCGGACGACGAGTAGTCTTCAGCGGCAGCTTTAGCGTTGAAGGGGAAGAAGGACAGATTCGAAGAGCCCTCCATGATGCGACCGTATGGCAAGATTCAGGATGATTACCGCAGTCGCTGAGGCCTCGCCATTTGATCTGCTCTTCTGTTCGATGACAAGCCGTGGATGAAGTGGAGCCTCGTCCAAGCAAGGCTGCAGTGAATCTTTTGTTGGACGCGTTGAAGCTTCACGAGTTTATCTTATCGCCACGTGACTGGATGCGCCGTCGTGGGGGTTCAGAAGGCGGTGAGAGGCCTGTCACTCAATTTACACGTGCTTGGCGGGATTGTGATGAATTTGGCACCAGTTCTTGTGCCCTTGCGTCATCGGTTGGTTCCCATGGGGATTTACCGCCCACTGCCCAAAGCCTGCATTTGGGACGCATTGCGTGAAATTTGTACAGTAAGAAGACTCTATCAAGTAGAGAGCTGCAATGACTCACGCTACAGCTACTGAGAGCTACAACTACGAGTACTATTCCATAAGGAAAACGTCTCTAACAGCTCGCGTCTTGTCTGCACGCGGGGTCGATCTAGTACTAGGTAAGTACCCCCAATCGGTAGCTGGATGGGGGCCGCGCAAATGTGTTTGGCAGTACCTGGCGCTACCTGGCTCGATGGAGGGGGATCCCGCAATCGCAACCGCAATACCCTACAGTAGAGCAGAGCTGTGCAGATGGAATGCATGAATGCATGAACGATATGCCATGGCAAGTAAATAAATCAACAAATAAAAATCATCCATGCAATACCGGCTTCTGGCCTTCTACTACTGCCATTTTCTTCGCCAACCAGCAGTCGCATCTCTGGCCAAACAGACACTCAGAAAATTCATTTGTTTATGCACACATGCGGTGTTAGTCCGAGTTCAGAATAGCCCTGCCAGTGCGGGCTGCTGATTGGAGCAATCAGGTGATGGGTGGGATTTGTTGACTTCCATGTGTGATGGGCAGCCCACAGCAGCACAAGCACAGCAAAGCACAGCTCACCCAACGAGAGCACAAGACACGAACAACTTCTCCAAAACTCGACCGAGTTTCTGCATGCAAGGCGAGCATCGCATCACGAGACACGAGACACGACCTCCCGCTCCCGAGTCAGCGCTCGCAACTCTGCAGCTTCTGCCGCGCACCGAGCAAATCACAGCTGTCCACCGACTCGATCCCCGGCACCGCTCCCCCCTCCTTGCTTCTTGTACATATTATTCCGTCTTTTCATACCCGTATTATTTTATACCTGCACAGGCACTGGGCCCGCCGAGAGCCATCGCCGCTTTTCTGCCTATCCTGATCCCGGTCGTGCAGCTCCAAGAAGGCAGGGTAACTGACACTGGCGGCCGCGATCCCCGATATTGCTCGGGTGAAAAAGTACAAAGTAGCCTCCTGGATCTTCCGCTTAACCACTCCTGACGGATTCACGCCAACCTCTTCATCGTCTGTGGTATGTTGCCTTCTTGTCTTCCCTACTTCCCCTCTGGCTAGCCTCGTGCCCGCCGCGAGGCCTGCACAATGGAGTCGCGACGGCGTCACCCGTTCAAGAAGCTCATCCGCAAGATCGTCAATCTAATTGATGAACGGCCAGCAGATTCCTCAGAGCAGAAGCACTCCCAAACCTCGTCAGCGTTTAGGTACCTTTCGCTTCCCTCCCGAGCCGCCATGGCCGACGCAGAAGAGGATTTCAGCTCCTTGCCGCTCCCCGACCGCTTTTCACACAAGGTAACCCATCTATGCCATGCTCTTTGCACCACGGCCCATCGCGAACTCCCCTTTGGCTGACTAGAAACCCCTTTGACATATAGAACTGGAAAGTCCGTAAACAGGCCTATGAAGATGTTGCTAAACAGTTTGCCAAATCACCGGATGAGTCCGATCCTTGCTTCCGACCCTTTCTAAACGACCCGGGTTTGTGGAAATCTGCCGTCTCCGACTCCAACGTGGCCGCCCAGCAAGAAGCCATCACCTCCCTCTGCGAATTCCTCAAGTATGGCGGACGAGATGGCGCTCTACGTACGCGTGGAGTCGCAATTAGCCCCATGGTTGAGAAGTGCCTATCTTCAACGCGACCCGCCATCAAGCAAAACTCCCTCGAAGCGATCCTGCTATATATCGAACTGGACACAGCAGCCCCCGTTATCGAAGAGGTGCTGCCTGGTCTTGGCAACAAGGTACCCAAGAATGTTGCAGCTACACTAAACGCCTTGACCCAGATTATCCACAACTACGGCTGCAAGATTGTCGACCCGAAGCCTATCCTCAAAGCACTACCCAAGGCCTTTGGTGCAGCTGATAAAAATGTGCGTGCTGAGGCTACTGGCCTTGCGGTGGAGCTCTACAGGTGGCTGCGAGAGGCTATGAAGCCCATGTTCTGGGGGGATCTGAAGCCCACGCAACAAACCGATCTGGAGGCGCAGTTTGAAAAGGTCAAGGCTGAGGGCAACCCGAAACAAGAGCGACTGCTGCGAAGTCAGCAAGAGGCTGCTGAAGCAGGCGGCGGCGGCGACGGCGAGGACGGAGAAGAGGGCGAAGAAGAAGAGGCGGAGGAGCCAGCCGAGATCGACGCGTTCGCCTTGGCCGAACCTGAGGATGTTCTAAAGAAATTGGCGCCCAATTTCCACGAACAGCTTGCCTCCTCCAAGTGGAAAGATCGTAAAGAGGCCGTTGAGGGACTCTATGCAATCCTCAATGTCCCTCGTATCAAGGATGGCGACTTCAACGAAATCACTAGGGGCCTTGCCAAGTGCATGAAGGACGCCAACGTTGCTGTCGTTACGCAGGCGGCCCAGTGCATCGAGCTGCTGGCAAAGGGATTGCGCCAAGCCTTCTCCAAACATCGTACCACGGTCATGCAGCCCATAATGGAACGGTTAAAAGAGAAGAAAGCTGCGGTTGCCGACGCTTTGGGCGGTGCACTTGACGCTACCTTTGAGGCAACGTCACTGTCTGACTGTCTTGAAGATATCTTTGCTTTCCTGGGCAACAAAAACCCGCAGGTAAAGGAGGGTACCATGAAGTTTCTCATTCGTTGTCTGCGGACTACGCGCGAGGTTCCAGCCAAACCCGAGATTGCTCAAATATGTGAGGCTGGAAAGAAGCTACTTGCGGAATCGACCCCCGGGTTGCGAGATGGTGGTGCTGAGATTCTGGGAACAATCATGAAGATCATTGGTGAACGAGCGATGACTCCGAACTTGGAAGGCTTGGACGATATTCGAAAGAACAAAATCAAGGAGTTCTTTGAAGCGGCCGAAGTCAAGGCAAAAGAGAAGCCCAAGCCCGTCCCCAAGCCGGCACCAGCCGCAGCACCGAAGAAGGTTGTCGGGGGCAAGAAGCCTGCAGCAGGCGTCAAGAAAGCGGCGCCGGCTGCTGCAGCTGAGGCACCTCCCGCGGCGAAGCCCGCAGGAAGCAAACTGGGCCTGCCCAAGACGGGCGGACTCAAAGCTCCCCAAAAGCGAGCGGTTGGGGCCTCTTCTGGGGCTTCATCACCCCGCCGATCGGGCCCGATTATGCCAGAAGAAGATCCTCTGCCGCCAACACCACCGCCGGCAAAGGCAGCGCCCTCCCGAGGACTCACGGGTCGCTCTTTGGCTAAGCCTGCTGCGGCTCCCGCGCGGATGCCTTCGGAATCACCGCCCCCTTCAAGCGGCCTCACTGCCATTGAGAGGGCCGAATTGGAAGAATTGCGCACCGCCAATGATCGTTTGACCCGGCATATCGATGACTTGCGTCAGGAACGCAGCAAGTTTACGTCGGAAATCCAGGAGCTGAAGAACCAGAATGCCAGCCTCATTGAAGACCACACCCGCGATGTCCTGAGCATCAAGGCCAAGGAGACCCAGCTCGTCCGTGCCCGGAGCGATGCGGAGGCAGCAGAGGGAGTCAACGATAGACTACGGCGTGAGCTGGAGCGCCTCAAGAAGGCGCTGAGCCGTGCTGAACACCTAAATGCATCGGCTGGTAAGTTAAGAGTCCATTTCTTTTCATCGCTGCTGGTGACTGGTAGATGACTGACAAATGAAATAGGTATTACATCACCAACATTCGACGAGCCCGGGATGTATCGGGACTCCATGGCTGCTCCAAGCTCACGGAATAGGATGAGCTACGCCAGCAGCATGTCCGAAGAGAAGGAGAATGGCGATGCTCCTTATCCACGAAACAAGTTCAGTCCGGAACTGCGCTATGCAGGCAGCACTGGATCATCTGGACGTGGATCTCCAGCTCGAGGATTCCGGAATATCGCCTCGCACGACGATGGCAGCGATTCAACGCTGACATCGGCCAGAGACCGCCCCGTATCGTCAATGCCACAGTCGGGTTCCAACGGAGCCGAGAGCTGGAGGCGAGCAGCTGAGGTGACAAGTCAGTTGAAGGCCAGAATTGAACAGATGAAGGTATGGAAAAATAACCTGTGAATATCATTGATGACCCTCGTCTCTAACTGTGTATAGGCCAAGCAAGGATTTGCCAGATCTTAGAGGAAAAGAGTAACGATTGACGAATACGATTAACAACGCATCATGTCCGAGCTTCTCTGTACGTCTAATGATTGCCTGTGATATCGGCGAAACAGGAAACAAACATCCCCCCAGGCCTCGCTTCATTGTTGGACCTTATGGGAGATCAATCTTGTGTGCATTTTTAGGCGTTGGAACCCATACCCCCTCCTTCCCCTTTTACGAAAAAAATTTGGTTGATAGAAGTATAATGCAGACATACTGCTTTTGGGAACTCGGGGTATAACGAGAAGGGACTCTATAAGGTTGCAAGGTGGGAAGCTATGGATGAACGGATGACCTTTGTCTTATCTGGGCAGTACTCTAGCCTTTTACTTATACCAAAGCTTATTCAGTTGTGGTTTTAGTTTTTAATTTACGACCATATGTTTCTTTCTGCTCTAACATGTGGACGTGGGGATGCGGTGAAATTGCTTATTGAACGGATACATTGCTGGGCTAACTAATGATTGCTACTATGATAAGGCTAATGGAATACTAATACATGAAGTTCGGTGCGGGTTGCTCTTCCAGCGCTAATTACCTTTCTTGCTGTCGTCGCCGCCCTTGTCTGATTCACCGTCTTGATCAGTCTTTTCTTGATCTTGATCAGATTCGCCATCTTTGGACTCGTCGGTGTCTTTGGATTTGTCATTGTCCTTGGATTTGTTGTCCTTAGACTTGCTATCCTTGGACTTGCTGTCTTTGGACTTGTTTCCACCCTTGGATTTGTCGCTCTCTTTGGACTTGCCACCATCTTCGGACTTGTCACCGTCTTTAGACTCGTCACTGTCCTTGGGCTCATCGCCGTCCTTGGACTCGTCACTGTCTTTGGACTCATCATTGTCTTTAGACTCATCGTTGCCCTTAGACTCATCGCTGTCTTCAGACTTGTCACTGTCCTCAGACTCGTCGCTGTCTTTGTCCATGCCCTTTTGGCTATCCTGAGAGTCGTCCTCTTCGTCCCCCTTATTCTTGGCCGAATCCTTATCGTTGTCGGCTTGCTTCTCATCCTTCTTCTTGCCCTTGCCCTTCTTCTCATCTTGGGACTTCTTCTTCTTTGCCTGTTCCTCTTCTCTCGCCTTCTTGGCCTTCTCCTTCTTGATTCTATCCTTTTCTTCCTTCTCCAACTTTGTCCAATCCGTATTCTTATCCGCAATACCGGACTCCTCTACTCTAGCTCGCAAGCTCTGCTTGTTATGCGCATTCCGCTGAGAGATCTCGGCGCGGCCGACGAGAGATATGAATATGGCGAGCCCGACCATGGCGGTCAGGAGGAAGCGGTACTTTGCGTACCACACCGGCGCCCAGCCTTTTCGCGTGGCGCGGGAATCGGCGTAGTAGAGCGCGACAAAGGCGCCAAACTGTGTTGTCAGGGCGTACTCGAGAGGCATTAGCATCGTGGGCCAGGCGACGATGGAGGCGGCGAGACCGGTTCCGTAGCGGAATCGAGTGCGGTCGTGCTGCGGCTTCTTCTCTGCATATTCGAGGCCCTGGCTAACGGTTAGAAGTTCAGTCTTATTATTGTGAAATAAAAGGTCATACCCAATGGATGGCGCCGAGGAACGAAATGATGACGGCGCCATATCCGAGCTGCAGCGGCTCGATGAAGTCTAGGAGGTACTGCGCCGTTTCATGTTCCATGAAAATCATGTTGTAGAAACGATTGCCAGAAGGAACATCGGTGTTGAGATTTAATGCTAAGAAAACGGTCGACACAGAGGTAGCAAGGTAAGGCAGTGTGCCGGCTAGACCGAGGATATGCGATTCGCGAGGGACTGTGTCCAGGCGGAACGAATCCTTGACAACATCCTATGATAGCTTTTAGTCAACCCAATGCTCTTTACAGTGTAACATCATCATCGAATGCGTACAATGTCAGATTTGAGACTTGAGGGGATACCCGGAGGCTCTCTCATGGCTCCTTCAGTGGCCTCCAAGACGGTTCGCACGCTGCTGGTAGAGGATACGCCTTCAGGATTTGGTTCGAGCTTCTTGTGGGCAAGCCTGTCGCGCTCTTCATCGGCTGATGGAGGTTTTGGAGGTTGATTGGAAGAGCTGGCGAAGCGAATTGCTGTTCTTCTCGCATCTAATCGGTAGAGCTGCTGGCGTGTTATCGACTGCTGCGATCTGGAACTGGCGAGGCTCGCAGCTACTGTCCTGCCTGAGGATCGCAGCGACGGCAGGGATCTGATCATGATGTTGATTGCTTGGAGACTTCAATAAAGCTTTACGAAGTAGAAAGAAAGGGACTGAGATTGAGTTGGCGAAAGATAAACTACATTCCAGGGATAGATGCGTCGGCAAGAGCTGAGCTTAATGGGTACATAAAACAACAATTTCTGTGGAGTGTGAGCTCGGATTCGGCACAGCTTTTGGCATCACATTGCAAGAATTGATCGAACATTTGGACCTGCATTAAAAAATCACGATAAAATAATCAAGTAGCGATGCCGATAATGGATCCGATCAGCGGAAGACGGAGGTGGTGATGCTATGATGACATTATTTGGGAGGTCCGAGGTCGTGACGTAATGGCCACGCGCATTGGGGTATGACACTGTACGGGAATGCGGGAGAGGCTGCGAAGGTTTTTGGATGATGAATGGTGAATGGTC